ACACTTGTAAAACTTGCATGACACTCATTCTGTTTGTAATTTCTGTCATATTAAAAACACTTACTACTTAAACAACTCGTATAAAAATCTGTTAAATTTTTCAAGTTAATATTATCACGGAGATTATCATTACTATTTATATTTATTAGACTACCCATGACCTGATGGGTCACTGACACTTCAGTTTACAAAATATTGATGTTGATTTCAACATTAAAAAATTATGAGTTTGAAGAAAGTTTGAAATAAAAATACTTACTGTATAAAAAACACTCATTTTTAAATCTTATTCACTTAAAATATTTTAAAATCAGACTAACTTAAAATATTTTTAATATGCCAAAAGATATTTTTAAATCATATTCACTTGAAAATATTTTTTAAATATGCCAAAAAATATTTTTTAAATATTTAAAATATTGTTTTTTTTAAAAAAAGCGGAAATATAAATAAGCATACATGCAAAGACAGAGAGGTGGAAAGTGAGAAGTGGAGAGAGAGAGAGGTGGAAAGACAGAGAGGTGGGAAGTGAGAAGTGGAGAGAGAGAGAGAGGTGGAAAGACAGAGAGGTGGAAAGTGATGAGTGGAGAGAGAGAGAGGTGCAAAGACAGAGAGGTGAGAAGTGGAGAGAGAGAGAGAGGTGCAAAGACAGAGAGGTGGGAAGTGATAAGTGGAGAGAGAGAGAGAGGGTGGAAAGACAGAGAGGTGGAGAGAGAGAGAGAGAGAGGTGGAAAGACAGAGAGGTGGAAAGTGAGAAGTGGAGAGAGAGAGAGGTGGAAAGACAGAGAGATGGAAAGTGAGAAGAGGAGAGAGAGAGAGGTGGAAAGACAGAGAGGTGGAAAGTGATGTGGAGAGAGAGAGGTGGAAAGACAGAGAGGTGGAAAGTGAGAAGAGGAGAGAGAGAGAGGGGTGGAAAAGACAGAGGGGAGAGAGAGAGGGGGAAAGACAGAGAGGTGGAAAGTGAGAAGTGGAGAGAGAGAGAGAGAGAGGAGGGAAAGACAGAGAGGTGGGAAGTGAGAAGAGGAGAGAGAGAGAGAGAGAGGTGGAAAGACAGAGAGGTGGAGAGAGAGAGAGAGGTGCAAAGACAGAGAGGTGGGAAGGGAGAAGTGGAGAGAGAGAGAGAGAGAGGTGGAAAGACAGAGAGGTGGAAAGTGAGAAGAGGAGAGAGAGAGAGGTGGAAAGACAGAGAGGTGGAAAGTGAGAAGAGGAGAGAGAGAGAGAGAGGTGGAAAGACAGAGAGGTGGAAAGTGAGAAGTGGAGACAGAGAGAGATAGAAAGACAGAGCTGGAAAGAAACTTAAGTCATTATGTGCCTGACGGTCAACATACGCTCAATTCACAGACTTTTAGTATTATACTACCTGCGACCAATTGAGTCACTTAAAGTTCAGATTATAAAACACTGAATGTTGCATTGAACATTTAAAAAAATTATCTGTTTGAAGAAAGTTGAAATAAAAATACTTACTGTATAAACAAATCATATATTTAAATCATATTCACTTGAAAATATTTTTAAATGTGGCAAAAAATATTTTTTAAATATTTAAAATATTGTTTGTTAAAAGAAATCTGGAATATAAATAAGCACTCACACATTCATGGGAAGGTGGAAAGAGAGAGAGGTGGAAAGAAAGAGAGGTGGAACTGAGTGAGAGGTGGAAAGAGAGAGTGTTTTTTTCTTTTAGTCTCACTGTCAATGCATGTATACACACTATTTCCTTCTCTCCCCTGCATTCCTACATGATTATAAATTTACATCTTTCTTTCCCCCACTCTCTATATATGACTTTGTGTTCATGGTGGCAAACACACAAGCAAGCAAGTAAAGTTCACAGAGTTTTAGTATTATAAAGATAACCATTGTCATGGCAGATATGGTACAAACTATTCTTACGATTATTATACTTATTACTATTAAAATCCAAGATATACTAGTTGCATAATGGTTATTAATGTAGTAAGTGTAGAGTCAAATTCAAATGCATCCTGGATATGACAATAAATTGCATCTGACAGCAAGGCCTCTGATCAGGAGGTTTTGTGGAGCATAGAACCACCTCTTAATTGCTGTTGTTCCCAGGTCCACCCTGGCCCTGACACTTGCTAGGGTCCAAGCTATAAGCAAATAGTTAACCCCCAAACTGGATTCAAAACACTATGAAAGTGTAAAAATAGGTATTAATACTAGCAATACATTTTTGAAAAATTAGTACGAACAATACATTTTGGAAAAAAAAAATGATTATCACCAATTTTTTGAAAAAAAAAAAATTATTCTCAGCAATACATTTTTTGAAAAAAATTATCAGCAATAAAAATCTTGTTGTCAGTAAATAACCCATTGCGGCTGATATGGCATCAGACAAAACAAACTGAACCAAACCAAGTTCAAATCCTCACCTAGGCTCTTTTGATCACTTTGCATTAATACCCTTTGAAAAAGCATGAATTGGTCTTTTCCCCACCAGATATAGTTTAAATAGCAGGGTAGACTGAAATTCTAGCCTTGAGTTGCACAAAGTCTATGAGAAATACTAATCTGAATTTAAAAACGTGGAGAAGTCAATGAAGAAACACTTCAGTATTATTCCAAAGAAACCTTTACAATTCACAGATATTAAAGAAAAGAAGTTGACTGATATTAGCCATGATCACTTACATCTGGAAGGGACTTAACGTTTTAAAATAAATTTTTAATTTGTACCATCATTCTATGTTAACCTTTATGTAGCATTTATATCTAAAAGTCATTACTCCTACTAGTTCTGAAAGTATTCTTTTTTTTTTATCTTACAATTGGTCCAGTGCTCTCATTTGGAGATTCTTGATAAAATCCAAAACATAATGAGCAATATTATTGGTCCTGACCTAGCATATCATCTTTGGTCACATTCCTATTGCCATAATGTAGCTTCCTTATACCTTTTCTATAAATACTTTCCTGAAAATTTCTCCGATTTAACCAGTAGAGAAGACAATATTTATGAATAAAAATGACAATAGGACAACTAGTAATTGTTGACGCGTTTCGTCCAATGTGGACTTTATCAAAAATATCAAAAAAATATCAATGTGGACTTTATCAAAAAAATTTTTGATAAAGTCCACATTGGACGAAACGCGTCAACAATTACTAGTTGTCCTATTGTCATTTTTATTCATAAATACTTTCATGCTAATTGTTTGTATGAACTCTTTGCTATGGTACTTAGACTTTAGAAATTTAAGCACAGTACTAGATTGGTCATAAAGTTATAGTACCAAGATGAATTGGTTAGATATAGCCATGTTTTATGCTGACAGTTTCTTTTCTCACACTTCTCATTTGTGGAACTCTCTTCTGGTGTCATGCTTTCCAGCCAACTTTGATCTTCATAAATTTAAATGCAATGTCAATCATTTTTTACTGTCTTCATTACTGTTCTATTCTTCTTGCTCCTTAATGTTTCTCCTTTTTCTTGTTCTTCCACATTCAGTAATCTCTTGTGTTTTAGTGGCTTTACTGTCTTGCATTGGGTGATAAGATTTAAAAGAAAAAAATATTATCATTATTATTATTACTAAGAGTTATTATGCATAATCATTCTAAAAGTATTCTTTCTTCTTATTACTAAAAGTTATTATTCCTACACTTTCTAAAAATATTATTTCTTCTCCTCATCCTTTTTATTATTACTGCTAAGTGTTATTGTTCCTACTCTTTCTAAAAATATTCTTTCTTTCTTTCTTCTTGCTAAAATTTATTATTCCCATTCTTCTCAGAAACATTCTTCCTGTGTTTGTTTCTTCTTATCATTATTATTGTTAAGAGTTATTATTCCTACCCTTTCTAAAACTATTTTCTTCTTCTTATTTTTATTATTATTGCTAAGAGTTATTATTCCCACTCATCCTAGAAGCATTCTTTCTTCTTCTTGTTTGTATTATTTATTATTATTATTATTATTATGTTTTATGCTAACACTTGCAGTGAATACAATTTGTTTGTTTTTTCTGCTTCTTCTGACTAAAGGCAAAGTGTTATTGCATGCGGATAGGATATTATCTTCATTGCTGTCACATCATTTCTGTTTCCCTTTTGTAACACTGAACGGTGAGTCCAACATACCACACACCATATGCATGACATGATTAGATCTACGTTTTAGTCAAACGGACAGGCGCATGTCTTGTGGGCTTTTGAAACTGATGCACTTCCCATATCACCCTCATCCTCACTCACTCTTTCTCTCTCACTCTCTCAGTTCAGTTTTGATCTTTTCCAAGAATCACTGCCACTTTTACTAAACTCTGGCACATGTTTTATTTTACTCTTGTCTCCGCCCAGCCACATTGTAATCTGTTTTGACAAAGAAGAAAAAGCAGAAAGATACAGAATTGTTGGTGGTGGGATGGGTGGTGGGGTAGGGTAGATAACAAAGAAAGTGAAGTGGAAAAGAAGTAGAAGAAAGAGAGATGGAGGAAGAGGACAAAGAAGGAGAAAGAAAGAAAACCAGAATGGAACCTGGAAGAAATGAAAGAAAGTTTTGACAAGAGATAAATAAGCAGTGAATCTGAAAATATGAGAGGAATGAATAATGAAAGATTGGAAAAAAGAAAGTGGGATAAAGTCAGAGAGAAAAGAAGAAGAATAACAATGAAAAACATTAAAGGGTGTAACAAAAGAAAATGCAGTATGACAGAAAGGAAATAATCTGATGAAGGGAAGAGTACTGAACTGAAAGAAGGAAAAGTGAAAGAGGAGAAGAAGAAATTAGAAAGTTTAAAAAAGAAAGAAAGAAAAGTGAAAGAGGAGGAAAAAGGAATCAGAAAGTATAAAAGTGAAAAAAGGAGAAAAAAAAAAGGAATGAAAATGAAGGAATGTGAAAAAGACAGAATCAGAAAGCATAAAAAAAGAAAGAAAAAAAGCAAAATAAAGAATCATAAAAAAGAAAAATGGAAAAGGAAGGAATCAGAAATCATAAGAAAGAAAGGAAAGCGAAGGAGAAGAAGAAAGAATCAGAAAAAAAAAGAACAAAGAAAAAAACAAAAGAGAAAAAGTGGAAAGCAGTAAGCATTAATGAGGGAAAAAGAGTAAACAGACTGAAAATACAAAAGAAAGAAAGAAAATAGAGAAAGAGAGAAGGGAAAGGGAGAAAACAGACAAACAAAAGCTAAAAAGACAGAACGAACAAAGAAAGTCAAAAAGAAGAATGCATAAAAGAAGAAGTGGAAAATGAAAGAAAGAAAGAAAGAAAGAAAAACAGTAAAGATAAAAATAGAGGGAGAAGAAGACATTAAGGAGAGCGTGAAGAACGAAGGAACTGGGCGGAATGAATAAACAAAGGAACATGAAAAAAGCAAAGAGAAGTCGTGAGCAAAGACATTCTGAAGAACGGAATGAATGTGTTGTGCAGTCGTTTGTTTCCCTTTTGCAAATGAATGTCGAGAGGATGTGTTTCCTTTGCAAAGACACAGCACCCTACCCCCCACCTGTGTTTTTCCTGCAATCTTTAGTGCAGTTTCTGCGTGAATTCGATGAGGCAAAGAAACTGGAAAAGGTTTATGGATGCATCTCTCTGTATATATAAGTGTTTGAATCTGTTTATGATTCAAACCACTGATGTATATAATGTTCAT